GGTGTCTGCAAAAGATCCATGTAGCAGCTACACATAACCCCGGGTAGCCTACAAACCTCCCCTGTCAACTGTGAATTTATTTACCATCTGATGAATATTTTAGTGGTGACAAAGGAGAGATAAAGACTCCTTGGAGATCGTCTGAAAATGGATCTAATGTCCCGATCAGTGGAAAGGGGGGAGCTGCTATCAGTCGGCCAGCAGATGCACACCGTGTATTTAGTTGCACTGTTAGAAAACTACCCAAATGGTTTGATAATTATACAGCCCGAGATGCATTTCTCACGCAGTGTTTTTCGAGGTCAAGCGGCGAGTTAAAATGATAATTTGATGGATGAAAGTGACACGTTTTTCTCAGATAAAGAGCTGATCTTTTATGATCCTTTCATGTCAATGGCCTTTAACAGGCTCAGGGAAAATGTCGCTTTTGCCCTTCTTGACAAGCGGTGTACATATAGTTCTATTTCCAAGGATCGTCTTTGACGACATAAGATCAACACAAACACATCGTTTTAATTAGAAGGCGCCTGTGTCTTCTTCAATCAGCACCTATTTCATATTTGCAAGCTTTTTCAAATAAGTTACATTCGTTGGCAGTGTATGAAAGACATCTGAGAAAAAGATTTTAGCAGATTAATTAAATGCCCCTAATATTCGTTGGGTTGTACAGTGGCTTGGATGTAATGGAAACAAATAGTTAAAAGGAAATTTGGTCATTCGCTTCCATTTCTCTATAACTTGTATCTACATATTGCTGATAGGATTGTCAGGACTCTCATGTTTATTGGACATGAGGAGCTAGGCATGTATCTGTGTACTCAGGCAGAAGGAAATGACACCTTGAAATGTACCTACAAGTGACTCATGTAATGGGTATGCTGTGCTGAATGGTGCGAAGGCCCCGGGTCCTTATTGGTTGTGGATTTTAGTAAATAAGTGATAACTAGATTTGAATAGCAGAGGTGTTTAAGGAGGAAACCACACACAATCGCAGAACAGACCCACAATCAACATTTTCACATGGCTAAAATTCCCTGCTTTCTGGCTAGTGTAATACTGTTTTTGAAAGAAAACCAAAATCTTTACGCATCTATACACCCAAATCGGTCACTTTTTATACATCATATAGCCCAGTGTTTATTTCTCACGTTCGGTATTTTGTGGATTTAATAATTCCAAGCTTAATGTTTTAATTCGTTTTACTTTATATTGCTGCCCAGGTTTGACAAACGTGGGTCTCTTAAAACAGCACGGATATTGAATTCTTTTTTTGTATTGCATTTCATATTTTGTTTACTTTTTATTACTTTTATTATTATGTATTTATGCATGGTGCACTTGGACTATTTCAGCCCAGAAGTGGAAAGGGTAAATGATTCGGACACATTTTGAATGAATATATTTACCCAGTCACAAACTAGCTCCCTGCCAGTAGCTGGGTATGATCATTGGAGAGCCCCATCGGTTCATCTAAACCATGAAAATGTAGGATTCATTCAACGGATTTCAGTCTTTTTTGATTGTGTTGTTTGTTTTGAGTGTTTTTCTTTTGTAGTTGACCAGCAGACTGTGTTGTGAGAAAATGATAACGTGTGGTATTTTTCTCTCTCTCTCTCTCTGTCTCTGTAGACGTTTTGGTACCAAGTGTGCTGGCTGCTCCCAGGGAATCTCCCCCAGTGACCTGGTCAGGAGGGCAAGGAGCAAAGTGTTCCACTTGAACTGTTTCACGTGTATGATGTGTAACAAACAGCTCTCCACTGGAGAGGAACTATATATAATTGATGAGAACAAGTTCGTCTGCAAAGAAGATTACCTAAATAACAACAACGGTGCCAAAGAAAATAGTGTTCTCTCAGGTAAAACCTGTGCTGCTGGCAATACAGGGTGCCTCTATCTCTCCCGATTCACTATACCTGCCGCCTCCATTTCTCCATCTCTCCCTTTTTTCTCTCTCTTACCGTTTCTTACTCTCTTTCCCGTATATCTCCCTTTCCCTCTCAGTCTCCTTTCTTTCTTTCTTTCTTTCTTTCTTTCTTTTCTCCCCTCCTTTTTCCTGATCCCCCCCCCCCCCCCCAATCTATATCTAAATGTCTATTCCTGTAGGGACTAAATTATAAAAGGATTCATTTCTCTTTCACTTTCCTACACTTGAAATAACTAATCAGACATTTCTATTTGTTAAATCTAATTGGGCATTTGGAGTGACCACAAGATAGGGTGGGGAAAAAATCAGATCCTGGACCCTTTGATTCTCTCTCTCTCTTTCTAAATGTATATCCTTCCACATCTCTTCCTCTCATTCTATAGGTCTGTATTCCCACCGTTATACATCTTTTCTAACTGGATCTGTGTACATCTCCCTCCTGCTCTCCCCATGACTCCCTCTGTTTCTTCTCTGTCAGAGATATTGTAGTCAGAAACCCTATAGATACTCTTTGTAGATTTTAGTACAACAGCACCTTTAAGAAGAACATATATAGACATAAATAAATAAGGTGTGTGTGTTCATATTGTCCCTGTGAACAAGTGTGAAAGGTTAGAGCAAAAGGCTAATAGACACAATCTTTACTGTGTATACAAACAAACGGTCCTGTTCTGGTGCCATCATCCTTTGTTTGATATAAGTCCTTTTTTTTTTTTTTATGCTGTCCCTGGAATAGTGACAGGCAGTGACCCCAGTTTATCTCCTGACTCCCAAGACCCATCTCAAGATGACGCAAAGGACTCTGAAAGCGCTAACATCTCTGATAAGGAGGCTGGGATTAACGAAAACGATGACCAGAACCTGGGGGCAAAAAGGAGAGGACCCCGTACCACTATCAAAGCCAAACAGCTGGAGACTCTGAAGGCTGCATTTGCTGCTACACCAAAACCAACCAGGCACATAAGGGAGCAGCTGGCCCAGGAGACCGGCCTCAACATGCGGGTCATACAGGTAATGTCACTGCGGTCACCGCAGGTCACAAAGTCATCACAGCACTCTTCACATTTCCATAATGTATAGCAATTAGAGCATGGCGTTCCTGTACTTTCTTTATCAACACTAACTAGGCTGATGTACGATACGCCACCCCTGCTTACCTGTCACCTCTTGAAATGGAAAAGTGTAAATATGCTTCATCTTATTGGCTAGCTGAAACCAATGGCTGGGGGTCACAGGGTCGCTACGATACAAGCGCAGTGTGTGTGACTAATTGAATATTAAAAGTATTTGTATAAAAAAGGAGCTCAAAATAATTTTAGAATGTCCCCAGACTTTAGTTAGAGGCTATCATGCTTTTCTATGCGCTTTTACTCTCAATTAAATATTTGTTTTAGTGTTTATTTGCTTTGTGGATACACACCTTATAATATACATTGGAAATATATTAGTGCAAATGTCTCAGCCAGTTGAATACTATACTACTAATA